AGGCCTAAAGGTACATACACAATTCAGCCTGCAAAGATGGTATCACTACTCTATTGTATTAGAATTTTACCATATACTTAAGAAAACTTAGTGTTTTTCAATCCTTGATTTTTGGTCTGGACAGTGTATCCATTTAGATTTGGAAAATTGATGACTAGTTGCAGTGAAAAGCCTGAAGATTGTTATAGCTGACTTCCAAATCAGGTTTTTTTTCTGAATGGGAAGAAATCTATATGGTCTAGACAAATAAGCAACTCATTTTCTGATTCATTTTCCTTTGATGTGTCAGTTGCATCCAGTTTGTTTCCATTAACTGTGATTTGTATCTGAATCCATTGTTCTCGGTCTTTGTCATTGGCATTCTAGAGACCTCTTGGATTTTGATTAATAAATACAATATACATAGTTAAATGTCTTGAGCTTTAAATTTTAGAGAGTAAGAGTATGTTGCATGTGACATTAATTTATTGGGACTATTTATTTTTTTAAAATTTGGCAGGACTAATAATCTGAAAATGCTGAGCTGTATCTGCAAATGCAAACTTCTATTATTGTAACAAATACGGACCTTGTTTTGATAGATTTTGATTTTTAAGTGGCTTGGCTTTGCATGACAATATTTTTTTTGTGTGAATTCTTGCTCTAGTCAAATCTCTGACAATTTCACATTATGTGAAAAAAACACTCATTCTTTATGTATAGTAATTTAAAATACGATTTTAAAAACTGTGCTGATACTGACTTTTTAATACATATATAAGCCTTAACACCCATTTTAGTGTGGTTTCATCTGTTAGGTAGTAAGTTCCATTGTATTGTATGTAGGCTGGATATTTCAATGATACCACATTGTGCATTTATTTGATACCTTAAAAAATCTGACTGGCTGTCTCATGAATTCTCAGAGAATGCAGCTCTTCAGATGCTTTATGTAGATGGACTGCAGGATACATCAAAGCTTTTAAACTTTAGATTTATAAGGACTCAAAGTACTACATTGCACTCTTAAAAAATAAAATACTGTATTTACCACATACAATGTGTAAATAAACATTTTGCTTGAGAGAGCGGAAATAAAACTGGCAAGGACAGGGCATGGAAGAGCTGAATAAATGGCAAAGCTGTTGCTGCTCTTATTCCCTATTATAGGAAGTTGATGGTTTATGCCTTCACCATTCTTTCCAGCTTAAACCCCATATTGCCAACTCAAAGGAGTAATAAACCATCACAAGTGTTTTTCTCAGAGCAGATATTTAAAGCCTGGCTAGGGTTTGGTATTAGTTTGTGTTTTGTTTTGTTTTCTTTTGCACATAGTGCTTTGAAGACTCCCATACTATAAAGATAAAATTTTGAGAAAACTTGGATTTAGTGTACCTGTATTCCAGAGACAGTTTAATGCAGTGGTGACTGACATTTTGGTGGAAATCAGAGAGGAAATACTGTTTTTGCTTGCTTGTTTATTTATTTTAGTCTAGGTGTGATGTGACAGCTCCCCTCTTCATTCATATAGCTCTTTAAGTGATTGTTGCTTCATGAGACCGTCGTGGTGCCAATAAGTGTCCTTCATTCAGAGAAGACAATCAGTTGCTGAAATTAAAAGTGACTTGAGGATAAAGCACATAGATAGTTGCCAACATACTTTAGCAAACTGAGTGTTTTTAATGACATTGGAAAACCAGTGTAGCATGATGATGCCAGTGTTCACTAGGTTGCCATCAATATGCTTTTGGTCCTACCCCATTGGGAATTACTCATGTGCTTAACAATATTCACCCCAAAGACATCTTCTTTTAGTCTACATTAAATTATACACAAAATTAAATTAACTTATGAATTTTTGTGGCTTCATAGCTCAGAAGTAGAGGAAACTACTGAATATAAAAATAACCATGTAGCATTGCAGTCCTGCTCCTAGGGAGAGGGCCACTGTAGCACTGTACCTACCATCTAGTGCAAAATATACAGGCATGTAACAAACTAAATGTATATAGGAGCAAAAATCTCTTCAAAACCCAGTACTTTTTGTCTTACTTTTCTCTTGAAGGGCCACAGGGAGACCATGTTTGAGATTTGTATTTTACTGACTGTATTGTTGAATAAGAAACATGAATTCCTGCAGTGTGTTTAAGATGCTCTTTAAAAAACTTTCCCCATGACTTGTCGTGTGACAAGTGAAATGACCTGTCTTCTTTACCTTGTATCTTTGATTGTTATTCAATACAGTAAAAAAACGAAACTTCTTGTTCCGAGATCCAGAAAGCTGTCTTAAGTTGCACAGCTATTTAAACATCTCTTACTGCCTCAAGGTAAAAGTTGTGTTTTTTCAGATTACTCCAGCATATGGGTAAATCAGAGTTTGAGGTCTTCTGTTGGCACAGAAAAAGAACATATGCTATTCTTATAAACTTCATATACTTACTGGTTGTGGCTTTTATTTCCTACTATGTATATTTTTGCATATTTTTCTCCTAAAAGTGGACTCAATGTTTAAAAGTTAGCCATTAGACTGTTATGCTAATTGCTTAGAGGCTTTTGACACTCCCTATTATGATGTTAAAACTTTAGTATTTATTACAGGTGATCCATGCTCTGATTCCTTTGTTTGTCAATATTTTTATCTCCTTGGCAGATGTACCTGCTCTCATTTTCTTGAATTTTGGGGTCCAGAAAAAAAAAAGTATGGATGTAAATCCCTAATTAGCAACAGAAAGATAAGAAACTACTATTTCTGTTGCTTTCCTGTAACATCTTTATAGCACAGTATGTATATTAGTATGAGTAATTATTACAAGTATTTTCCTTTATGTAGATCCTAAGGCTGCTAAATAAACAATACAGAAAAAAATTACAATGTGAAGTATAGTAGGGGGATACATAGTGTAAAGGTGATGATGTGACAATGATGGAACTCAGTGTTTTTTCTGTAAGTTCTAAGTAAACCAGACAAATTGAATGACTGTTTATAAGCATATTACATATTTAATAAATTCTGGCTTCCGATTTACAAAAGTTGTCTCTCATGACATTTAGAAATTACTAGTCTTTTTTTTAATGGTAATTCCTTTAAGTTACATTAATATGTTGTTTCTGAAATCAGTCCTTTATTCTTGTCATATGTAATGACACTGTTCTAATCCTGAATTATTTTTAACCTGCTTGGTTAGGTTAGCATGCTTGTCATGTCTGTTTTTTTGCCATTCTCTGTTTATTTCACTCTAGTGCTGAACAAACGCCCTGATTTCTATTCTTGTTTTGATCTGTCCTTGTCCTGAATCAGAGAGAAAATGGAAATATTTACATTTTTTAGGTTGTTACATTTAATAACAAGGTTTCTAGCAATACATTTTAAAACATTCTGTTCCTGTACTTCCTAATCAAAATGAAATCTCTCTGGCTATGCTACCAGGATGCAGCACAAGAGTCTAAAAACTGTTTTGTGTCATGGGAGATCTGCCTAGTGGAAAATGAGATGTTGATTTTCATGAAAACCAAGCCTTTCCTTGAGCAACTGTTTCAAATCGGAATTCATGACCAGACTTAGACAGGGATACTGTAGTGCTCAGCTGTGACAGAAGCTGGATACTTCAGTCTTTTGGCAATGGTTGAGGTACTCTTGCAGTCTCTTGTCCTGTTCAGACTGGATCCTGCTAAGCGCTCTTGTTTCCTGGCTGTGGCTGAGGCCATGCTTGGACTGCAAGCGTGTGTCACGGCAGTGTGAGGGGACACACCGTGGCTTTCTGAATTGCCCAGACAACGTGCCTGGCTTAGGACTTTCTGACTGTCTTCATCTTCAAGTATCGTGAACATATGGTCTTTGTTACTGTGCAAGTTTAGGTTGGTTTTCACCAGAACCAATGTTTTCACATCATCATTTCTCAGTCATATGAGAGAGACTTTATTTGCTATGGAAACAAATATATGCTGGGCACGAGATGCTGACTCTGGGCCAGTTGGACTCTGTAGTTATTCCTGGGTATGTGTTAGGGCAGTAAGAGATAGTTGGCTCATAGATTTGGTACTTCTTCCTGTACTTGGTTGTGGTGTTCAGAGCTGCCTGCGGCTCCTGCCCTGCCAGGGAGGGAGGAAGAGTGAAGGCAAGCAGGGAACGGCCCATCACCCTGTGGGGTTTGTGTGCTGCCCTACTGCCAGCCCCACACTCTCAGCGTGTGCGTGGTGGCCTCTGGCTGTGCACAGGGGCAATGTTGACATTAAGTAAAAATATGCTTTATGTGATGTATACTTGTTAATTAATCCTGTTGTTTCTTTCTGAGCTTTTGGTGGCAAAATTTTGTTGGTCACAAGGCTTACTGTTTGCTTACATGAGACTGAGGCATGTTTAAACACTTCTCATCTGGAGATATTTTTAAAACTTCTATAAAATACTTTACTAATCCTCACTGGAATTTTTTGAAAATGTGTTTGGTGAAACATTTGGTTTACACATGTCAATAATCACATTGTTCAATACTGAGTTTTTAAATCATCTTAATTTCCAATACATCTGTGTTTATAGCAGCCCACTTTTATGCTGAGTTTTGTAGTTGTTATAATCAGGACATTCTTATACACATGAGTAAATTTATGAAAATTAGTAGTCCTATTTTATTCAGTGAGGCATATTCTTGTATACAGATATTGCCCCAAATTGAAAACTCTTCAAATTATTTACAAAAACTATATGAATGTAGGACTTTCCTCAAATGTAATATCTTAAAAATCGTAAGCTTTAATTGGCATAGAAAGTTTGTCTTCCAATATTCAAGAATATCTTTTACATTTTCTAAATTATGTTCTCCCATTCTTAACTCCACATGATAAATGTTCTGTCTTTTGAGAATGTGTTATTCTAAATAATTCTTTAATTAAAATTCCATGTTTAGATGCTTCATACACATTTGATATGAAATGTATGTGGTTCTTTAACAACTGTTTAATTAGATGTTGCTTTATTTATAGAAGTAATTGTTAGTATTCTGTAATAACAGTACTTTTTTTAGCAGGTCAGATTGTTTCCCCGCAGGCTGCACCAGCCTGTGTTGAAAACAAAAACGATGTGAGCAGAGAAAATAGCACTGTTGACTTTAGCAAGGTAAGTGTTCAGTGGTGGTGAAGAGAGCTTCCTGACTACCAAATAGATCTTTTAAATTAAATGAAATGAATACATGTGAATCAGGAAAAGCTGTGAAGTGCAAATTTTACTTCAGCATTAAAGTTTCATGTGCACTGCAATGCAGTTTTTATATAACAAAGAAGAATTTTTCATTTTCTTGATAAATTATTGGTAACAGGAAATCACAGTTTAGGAATACAGATAAATTTATTGCATGACAATACCATAGGTATGTATTTGTAGGGGGAATTTTTAGAAATTAACAGAAAATTATCTAAGTAGGAAAGTAATTGAGAATTCTTATAATTCAGATTTACCTCTCAGATTTTTACTTTTTGTAGAAGTAATGCATGAATGCAAACTACGCTTTTTATAACCTGAACTCGTGGATTCCAGATGTCTCAAACAGAATGTGTTTCTGTAAACCTATAACTTAATTCTTCTGGCAAGCCAAGATATTTCAGTACACTTCACAAAAGATGTTAACTGTTCAGTAGTGGAGATTGCAATGACAGTTCAATGTTAGATAGCAAAGAAAAGCAAACAGCTTCTCAGCTTTAATGTAAAGGAGAATCCTAATTTGTTTAAGAAGTCTGTATGTACCTAAAACAAACTGTCACATTAGACACAGATGACAGACCTGACAGGGATGGATGACTTCTGCTGACACATTAATACAACAAAGGTTGAGTAAGTGAAGAAAGGTGATTTAAACCAAAATTCTGAAGAACAGCACTTTGAGTCTGTTGAATCTTAATGTTAGTGCAACTGAGCTAAAAGTAGAGTTATGTGATTGCTCCATCTGGTGCCAGACTTACTTCCTAGCAGCAGTAGCTATTTGCGCCATTTGAATTCTTGACTGAACATGCCAGACTAGGAACGGTATATGGCTGAAATAAAGATGGGATACAGATTTTTTTTGTCAAAGACAGTGAGAAGAAGGGAGACTGACTGGGGATGTATTATGGACCACATTTCTACAGAGGTAGCAAGGAGATCTATAAACAGAGACAAGTTAAAAATTTAATACTAATACTTGAAAAAAATTTAAAATTAAGATTATAATGCTTTAAAAAGTCAAGTATGATTTTGGTTTCCTTATATTTATATTACAAGTGTTAACTAAAACTAACTGCTTTGGCAAGTGTTCTGATATCAAGATGTAAAATTTTGTAAAGGATATCAAATATAAATAAAGCCGTCTATTCAAAATTAAGATGTGCAGAGGTGAAGCTCATAACAACTCAAAGGGAACGACATGACTTTCAGTAGTGCTTTTCTTGCACGTTTCCCCAATTGCTTTGAGTGTTGTAGGATCAAAATCCCAGTCCATTATCTAGTTGCATGTTGTTTGTATTAAACGAGGATTGGAGGCTGCATCATTTGATTCTTCACTATTTTTGTAGTGCTGCAGCTTTGCTGATCACATAAACTCTTCCTATTTAAACTGGCCTGAGAAGAGATCAACTTGTCATCTTTTGGCTAGTCTCAGCAGTGTTAGATACCAACAAGGATGTTGGGAATATGAAAGGAACCAGGAATGAAATAACATTAAAGGACTGTAATCTAAATGCCTTTTTTGACTGCCTTTAAATAGATCCATTTATCCTTTTGAAGATGCATAAGTAAAGTACAATTTCCCCTTGAAATGTGCTATTGCAATAACTCCCAGTGGTTATAATTGGAATTATATGCACAGATTGAGAGGAAAGTGGAGCAGTACACTAATTTTCTCTTGAGTATTATGATTTCTTGCTCTAATTTTGTTCCACATATTAATTTCATTTATCTTCTACAAAAAAGCACCTTTGACTACCTCACGTATTCTCTCCTTGCTAATCTGTCTCCCTTGGGCTATTTCTAATAGTCCAAATTTTGGAGTTGATTCAAAAAGCTGACTTAATCTGAACACAGTACTGAGACTGTGTTGATTGGATTGGTATCTATTTATGAATAATGTGAAACATGGCACTAAAAGCTGTCTTGAATGTTACTTCAGTAGCACAGAGAGGGAGACATCGTTTCTGATGTTGGTACTTGTAAATATGTCACTCCTCTTCCTCTGGGGACAACACGAGGACTTTGTATTCCAGGGGTGATATGGAGGTGATCTGTCACAGCACCACTTCATCCTATGTCTGAGCAGGATGGGGATGGCACTTTAACTACTGCATCTGACTGCTCTCTGCTTCTTATACTAGAGGCTGATGGGATCCCTCATTGTCCTGAAATATGAAATGCATAGAGACTGCGCCTGTGTCCCTTCTCAGGGAAACATTCCTGTGCTCCTCACGGAAGCAGTATTTCTGAATCAAACCCCAGTCCCATACTGACAGTTTGATCTTTCAAATACCATGTGAAATAATTGAGTTGTTTTTGAATGCTGGTTAACCTTGGTTATAAATAAATTTCATTAATATGTGTCATGGCTTTCCTAAGAAGTGATGCTGGGTATTTTCTGTTTGTCTTCATGTCAATTTATGTTTGGTTCCAGGGGAGCTCCTCCCCAACTCCTTTCAGTCCTTGAGTTGCCCTGGAGGGGAATGACTTCCACATTAGTTATTCAGTTTTATGTTTAATCAGAGCTTACTGGGACTATTTAGTGCCAGGTCATGAATGTGGCTTAGGTTAAGGTGCAGGTTAAGATGCCGATGAGGTCTCTCCAGCGAAAGACCTCTTGGGATAAGAGATGTATAACGGATAGGTTAGATGAAGCATTTGAAAGATGTAGCTTCTGCCATTGCCCCAAATTCACTTCAGGGCCACCACCGCTTTGGTTATGTATTGGAGGCAACACCTGGGATTTGAGTGTATTTGCCCAGTTTAATGCTTCTCTGCCAGCTGCTTCCCTTTTAGCTGGGACTTTGTTCACTACCTAAAAGATATTGGACTCTCAAGCTGATAAATAGGACAGGAAACCTATCTGGAAGTGCTCTGTGGTAGACAGGAGGCTCAATGTTTCTTTCAGATTTGAATCTTGATGCTGTGATCTGTATGTTAGTGGGACCTTAAGGTGACAACTGCAGCATGTTGTACATGAGATGTTATTAAATGTTAAATCCATTCAGAAGGTAAAATTGGTATAGAATGCATGTTGCTGTGTGCCTGAAAGACTACTTCCTTTCTGTCAACTATAAATGACCTATGACACCAAAATTAGGTGCAAAGTGAATCTGTTTGGGTTCTGTATTTAACCCTGAAGAGTTATTTTGTAATTTGAGTGAGGAATAGCATTTGCCTCACTGATACTTTACGTTGAACAAGTACTTGGTCTCCAGCCTTCCAGGTTGATTTGATGCTTGTTTAACTTTGTGAGGTGTTTGATCATCGTTCTAGATTAGCTTAGGGTGGCATTAGACATCTTTCCTCCTGTACTTGGCACTGGTGAGGTGAGGCCGCATCTCAAGTACTGCGTTCAGTTTTGGGCCCCTCACTACAAGAAAGACATTGAGGTGCTGGAGCGAGTCCAGAGAAGGTCAACAAAGCTGGTGAAGGGTCTGGAACACAAGTCTGATGGGCAATGGCTGAGGGAACTGGGGTTGTTTAGCCTGGAGAAGAGGAGGCTGAGGGGAGACCTTATCGCTCTCTACAGCTACCTGAAAGGAGGTTGTAGCGAGGTGGGGGTTGGCCTCTTCTCCCAAATAACAAGTGATAGGACAAGAAGAAATGGCCTTCAATTGCACCCCAGGAAGGGTTAGATTGGATATTAGGAAGAATTTCTTCTCTGAAAGTGTTGTCAAACATTGGAACAGACTGCCCAGGGAAGTGGTAGAGTCACCATCCCTGGAGGCATTTAAAAGCCGTGTAGATGTGGTGCTTAGGGACATGGTTTAGTGGTGGACTTGGCTGTCCTAGGTTTACAGTTGGACTCAATGGTCTTAAAAGGTCCTTTCCAACCTAAATGATTCTATGATTCTTTGTGATCTCAGCGAAATAAGATTTCATTACACAGGCAACTGTGTTATATCTGAATTCTGATTTAGTGCCAGAGCATTTGCAAGAAAACAATTTTCTAAATATTACCCAAAACTATGCAAACTAGTACTGACAGATGGCTGTAAGATAGACATTAAAATGGTCCACTTTAACAGTTTATATTGGATTTGCTTGCTGTTGTTGTGTTTAGATTAATAAAAGGAAAGCAAATGACAAAATTCATGCATTTTGAAATGTAGACAATACTGGTGCATAATGAAATCAAACATACATTATATACTCTATTACTCCCTGTCGATCATTGTTACAGAGTAAACTCTATACTGATACTGAGGAAATAAATACAAATGAACACATTCGTTGGCAATGCCTTGAACTTATATAGCAGTGTCATGATGAAGCTGTTTCTCTGTCTTTTTCTACCATTCCCTGCAAAAGTCAACATCACTGCCTTAAAACTCCAGAGTTTTTGTTCTCCTTTGTTCTTTCAGTTTACTCTTGAGACAATCATGGTCATAGCTTATTTTCTGTTTTTTTTTTCAGCAGAAGGGTGACTGTTTTCCATTAAAGCTGAAAACAAAAATACATCTCATTTAGAGTAGTATAGTAGAAGGAAAATTACGTGTAGTGGAACCTGTTCTTCTTCTCATTGAGATTATAGTACAGCAACTATGAAGTAGAAATTAATGATTTCCAGAACTGTTAATTATGGAAAAATAAAGTGTCTTAATTTCTTCTACTGTTACGACTCATTGATTCTATTATAAATTATTAATGCTGTTATCATTATTGATAAAAAGTATTACTAGGAAATGAATACTATATTCTTAACAAGATTTTGAATGTGATTTGTTGTTTTTATAAATTAATTCAGCAGTACTTTAACGAGGTTTCCGAGAAAAACTAGTCAAATAATGAAAGACCAGTTGTTTGGTTTTGAGAAACGTTTTTATTTAAAAATGTATTAAACAGACAATAATAGTACAAACTGTATAATTGAAACAACTAAGATTAAAGTGCCGTGACCAGAAAGTCTCTGATGACAAATCAGGGGGAAAAATATCCCTATGAATAGCTTTTAGGTTGTAATTTAATATGCTTTTCCCAGGTTGACCTACACTTCATGAAAAAGATACCACCTGGAGCTGAAGCATCAAACATCTTAGTTGGTGAACTAGAGTTTCTGGACCGTGCAGTTGTTGCTTTTGTTAGGTTATCTCCGGCAGTGCTGCTTACGGGACTAGCTGAAGTTCCGATTCCAACAAGGTACAGTTGGATTTATTTCTCTTCATGTTTTTCTGAGTACCTTGTGGAGACAGGGTGATGTGACCTTTAACTTTGTCATTTATTGAGTTATGAATTTGTTTTTTTCTTTAACAAAGACATCTCTTAGAGGCATCTTTCCACTCATCCTTTAAATGATGTATGGCTATATTCAGAAACATACCATTTGTGTGTGCAGGTAATCATTCTTTGCAGAAGGGGAAATTATAGCTTGTTAGGTTACAACACACAGTTTATCCTATACAACTGATAATACTGCAGATGAAATACTAAGGTGAAATATTCAGCTTCTTAGAATATTACATATGGAACTGAAACTACTTGTGTGATACTGCATAATTATGTCCATAAGAAAAAAATGAAGAAGGATAAAGGGTAAAAGCGGAAAAACAAACTATGTGATTTGATTGACCAGGGATAGTGAATGGATGAAGAACATGCTATAAATATTATTCTCCTCTAAAAGTTGCTTTGGAGATACTTGCATGACACTGAATGTGACTTTTAACGATAAATTTTTATTAGATGAGTATTTTCTAAGTTGAAACTTTTTCTGATGAAATACTTTGGTTCTGAGAAAAAATTATGAGGAATTTAAAAAAAAGGTCTAAAATAGACTTTGTAGTTGAATAGAAAGCATTTAAATAGATCTGCAGATGTATTGTTTCCTGCTGGGGTTGATTCAGATCAAAACTCCAAAGTGATTCTCCCATATCTGAGTTCACTGACTTAACTATTATTACAGTCTCTCACTTTCTTTTTTGTATTTCTGTGTATGTTTGTACACATATTCTGTCTCTCTTTTCCCTTCCCTGTTTTAGTTTTAAAAGTAGAATTCTGTGTATTCTCTACACTCAGGAAGAAGTGTTACACTATGAAATGCAATGCTGAGACTCAGATCCATGCTCCTAGTCAGATAAACAGTATAAAATTTTCCTTAAGTTGTAGTAACTTTGTAGTTGGTTTGTATATGATTTTTTTTTTTGTCTTTTCTAATTTTTGCATGTGTATAAGGACATTGAGGGACTGAGCTGGCTTTGAAAAAGACTTCTGAAGCCTTTCCTCATAACCTCCCCTAACTTCCCACAAAAAAAACCCCAAAACAACACACCAAAAGGAAAATGACAGCTTTATTGATTTTTGGCCAATAGAAAATTAAATAATTAAAACCTAGGATAATTAAAACTTTCTGCAAAAATGTTTATTTTAAAAAAGATTTAATAATGTTAGTAAAAAAAGTATCTTTTGCATTTTATCAAAACTGAGAACTGCAGTTATTTCATTTGAACCTATTGTCTGCATTTTATAAAACCTTACTAGCCCCAAGCCTAGAGTAGAGGCTGTCTTGAGCCCTAATGGGAATAAGAATGATTTGTAAATTATTTTTATTTGGGGGTAATTTACCTTCTCCACTATTTCAATAATACTACTAGCATAAAATAGTTGATTGTGTTGAATTAACAGAATTAAATAAATTAATGTTAATATATTCTGTACATAGATTGTAATTGCATATATTTGTTATGTAAGATAAGGTTTGTTATGTAAGGAGGTTTTGATAGTCTCAATCAAGTCTGACTGTGAAGCTTATGCTATATTTTTGGAAGTTATTTTCACATTTTTTTCTAACTAGAGCTTAATGTTTAAATGCATGTGTGAGGATCTTGAAGGAGATGATATATATAAATATTTGTCTTAGAGGTTCTTCTAGTCCAATTTTTAAATAAGTATTTCTGTAGCATGTATAGTTACTTTCAACCATCTATCCTTTATCTTTTATTTGCAGATTTTTGTTTATTCTTCTTGGACCATTGGGTAAAGGGCAACAATACCATGAGATTGGAAGATCAATTGCAACGCTAATGACAGATGAGGTATTTTTATTCACGGCTTAGGTTTAGTCATTTTGTACTGATTGAAGAGGTGTAATAGGGAATCTCCAACACGGAGTCACCCAGATGAAATGTGGCTAATCATTCTAATGATGCACAAATAGCATTCTAGTTTATTTCATAATTATGCTGCCATAAGGAGATAACAAAATGAGAAACAATATTCATATGCAAGGATATCTTCACTGAGAAGATTCCATTTTACCCTGTTCCTTTCCAGTGGAATTAATTGTGTTTTAAACTGTAAAATCTCTGGAACATATAACACCCATAAAGATGTTTTTCCATAGCAGCTGGAGCTGCTATGAAAACTATGTACCAGAAACTCTAGTCAGTTGAAGCTGAGATTGTTCATTTGGTGGGAACTGCAGGAAGTCTGTTCTGTTTCAGAGAAAAGGGGCCATCGTGAAAAATGTTTTGAGAATATTCCTTTCGTCATCTTTTTCCTCCCACATACACTTCTCCATTTTTAACAGGTGTTCCATGATGTTGCTTACAAAGCAAAAGACCGCAATGACTTGGTGTCTGGAATTGATGAGTTTCTTGATCAGGTTACTGTTCTCCCTCCTGGAGAGTGGGACCCGACAATTCGAATAGAACCACCTAAAAATGTTCCCTCTCAGGTTTGTACACTGTAAAATTCAGATACTTCTAAGTGTCGTGATGAATTTTTGCTAGGTAGAATGAAGTCTTATTAATTTAGCACTTAGCAGAGTCACTATATAGACATTTTGCATACTGTGTTTTTTTGGTTAATTTGCTTTAAGAGAACCCTCGGCTTGCAAGCATACAGTATAGTGATGGCACTTCGTGTAATTCAATACTAGTTCTCTCCTGAATAAAGTTATATACTTGTACCTAAGGATCTTAAATTCAGGGGTAATTGGTCATAAGCATCTTTGATTATTCTGAACAGCCAAGCTTTGCTTTTGTTCTAAGTTTATTGCAAGAATTGATCAAAACAGCTTGGCTTGCTACTCTTTAAAATGTAATAAAATACAAGCTTTTCTGTGATCAGTTCTTTAAGTTTCTTAGACCACAATTCCTTCTACTATTTCCTTTTGTAGAACTCCTCTACAGCTTATGAAAAGGTTATGTTGATGTGTATCTTACAGTGAAATTTACATGCTTAGTCTTTCATCTATCAAAGCCTGTTTCATCTGCTGAAATCATGTTTTGGTTGCATGAGAAGTATCTTTTCCTTCTGGTAGGAGAAGCGTAAGATCCCAGGAGTGCCAAATGGAACTGCAGCCCATGGGGACACAGAACAACCTGGAGGACACTCTGGACCAGAACTGCAACGCACTGGAAAGTTAGTGAAAACATGAGCAAAATCTCAAGTGTTCTAAGTGATGCACTTGCAAAGGAATCATTATAGTCTGGTTCTCTTTCAAATGACTGGCTTGGCAGATGATTTTTTTCAGGCATTTTTACTGATTTGTGTGCCACATAGTTGAAAAGGACAATACATGCTAATTTGCAGAGAAGGGAAGAGGGCAAGAAGATTTGAGTTTTCACATTGTATTTATTGCAAGCTCATTTCTCTATTATTTATAAAGGTCAGACCTCTGTTAAACTTGATTAATGTTTCTTATTTTTGTACAGCATGAAGGAAAATTGAGAATAGTCTTGTGCCATATATTGTGAATGCTTACAGCTGTTTTCTAATTGAAGTTTCTGGGTTGTGCAACTCTAGCATTTCTCTTTTACCTCAGTAAGGCATAATATATCCTGGTACATAAGGCTATGATTACCACAGCGCCTGCAATATACACACATTGGAAGGAAAGATTTGCCCCAAGGAATACTTATGTTCTCTTGTCTAATATGGTGTGGTGTAATTGCATCAGCTGTCAGTGATTGCCTTAGTGTAGTGCAGTTGTGTGATAGACTTTTCTTTTACCTTGCTGCCTCTTGATATTTAAATATCTTTCCTACCTGCATAAGTCTAAAGATTCAGCTGCAGTGTTGGTGTACACACTGATGGCCAGTCTGGCTGTAAGCCGTTCTCTCACCAGTGAACCTGGCAATTGATGGCTCGAAGGATCGTTCTGATATTTAGGACATGCTGCCACTTCATTTTCCTCTTTACCCCAGCAACATCTGATACATTGGGTGCCTGTGAGAAAAAGAGCATTGTGGAGATATTTACTTTAACTGTATGGTGCATTGCAAGGGAGCGTCTGTTCCTAAGTATTTGATTATATTTAGCATAGTGTAAGTGACAAAAGATGACAGTTCTTGTCCTTGGAGAATTGTGGCCTACATTCAATTCTATCATCAAGTGTAGTTAAGAACAGATTCTCAGATAACGAATGTGAAGCTCTATATGTAGATGTTTGGGCAAATGGGCACTGTGGTAACTCTCTGATTAAACAGATGTGAAGACTTATTTCACATAATAAATAATAGGGTTTTATGTGTGGGAACTAACAACTGTTTTGGTTTTGGATGATTAGATGAAGATTTTATAAAAGCAACATGCAAATTAGTTTGTTTTAAAAACGCAATTTCCTGATTAAAGTTATCAAGACAGATCAATAGCTTCTCTGCAGTATATTTAAAGCAATACTGTGGAAGAAAGTTTGGTACGCATTTTTTATTAATTTGATCTCTTCTATTTTTTTTTTAGATTTTTTGGAGGATTGATTTTAGATATAAAAAGAAAAGCTCCCTTCTTCTGGAGTGACTTCAGGGATGCTCTCAGTCTGCAGTGTCTGGCATCATTTTTGTTTCTCTACTGTGCTTGCATGTCTCCTGTCATCACATTTGGTGGTCTGCTGGGAGAAGCAACTGAAGGTCGTATAGTATGTGTTAAATCTGAACTTTTAAAACAAACTTACGTTCCTAGGTTTGTAGTTAGTATTTTCTTACTGTTGCATGAATCACCTTTAAATATCAGTGTTTCAATGTTTAGAAGGCTGCAGGCTAAGACACTGCAAAAAGAACCTGTTTGAAAATTTATGGACATTTCTCTCTGTATCATATTCAGAGTGCAATAGAATCGCTGTTTGGAGCATCCATGACTGGAATTGCCTACTCTCTCTTCGGTGGACAGCCCCTCACTATACTTGGCAGCACAGGACCAGTTTTAGTGTTTGAGAAGATCTTATTCAAATTTTGCAAGTAAGTGAAGATCATGACATGCATCATCTCTCAGGTGTTATTAGGTAAAAGTAGAGATGCTGATCCCAGAGTTCCAACATCTGCAGAATAAGATCAACAGTTTGTTTTGGAGTGCACTGCTTAGGCTTTCAGAGTCTGAAAATTATGCAGTGACTGAGACAAGTGAATTGGTGGTAATAGAGAAAGATTGATCGGGTTTTTTAGTTGTTGTTTTTTGTTTGATTTAAAAAAACCTCAAAACTGTTTTGAAGGGAATGTAAACTTCAGGACGTTTGGGACTTTTTTATTGTGTAATTTTCTACTCTGAAACAATACATTTAAATCTGTGGTTTATCTCATCCCTAACTCATGCAAAAGGTGTTACTTCTCACCCAGGAAGTGCATGCGGTGGCAGTGGTGTGTTCTTTCAGTAGTCACTGATATAGACCCTGCGCTTCCTCCACCCAGAGGAGGAGTGAAGGGTCATGCCAGAACAGCAAATCCCCACATTTATGTCAATGTGCTATACATGACATACCTCTGCCACAGTGTGGGTAAAAATTATATCTGCATCTTGGCAACCATCATGCTTCTCTGTGATCCTCTCTGCTTTTCTGCCCCATTGCTGTGACAGGGACTTCTGCACCAAGATCTCCTGAACCTCCTGAACAACATAGAGTAGGAGACCCTGCTTAGCACCCCAAAAGCTCTTTTTTCACCTTCAGGTAGACCTTTCAGTTCTCTGTGATGATGTCACCAAACATGTTTGGAACGTTATTATGCAATAAGCATACAGGATTTTGATGAATGTTGTTATTTATTATTATTAAGCTGTTGCAGCTTAAGAAGAAATTGGCTGGTGTTGGCTGTTCAAAAGGCAGGATATGGGATAAAAAGTGGGTGGACTTTATACACTTCGTGTGTGTGACTACTGTTAAAGCTGCTTGCTCACTTTAGTAGAGATAGAGCTCTTTGTGTCCCATTAATTGGGAGGAGCTTAGGTCAAGAGCTGACTTGACAATATCTTCAGTTCACAATAGGTAAATAATTTCTGATCCAGACTGTCCCCCAAATCACACATCCCTAGGCAAAGGAAGTTTTGGAGCTGCCTCTTCTCCATTTACTGTGACTGGACAAAAGAGAAACTGTTTAATTTTCTTCTTTTCTTTAGAGAGTATGGGTTGTCATACCTTTCTCTGAGAGCTAGCATTGGACTGTGGACTGCAATCCTGTGCATCATCCTTGTTGCAACTGATGCAAGCTCCCTAGTCTGCTACATTACCCGGTTTACTGAAGAAGCTTTTGCTTCTCTTATCTGCATAATTTTCATTTATGAGGCCTTAGAGAAGCTGTTTCATCTCAGTGAGACATATCCAATCAACATGCATAATGATTTGGATCTGCTGACAAAGTACTCGTAAGTAAGATTTCTTCTGTTAACACTGTTTTTTTTTTGTCATAGGTTATGTTTTCTCTTATACTTATGTATACTTATGTAATCTTATACTGATGATTTTAATATTTTCTTGGGTGTTCAGGCAACATTTTTATATCATATTTATCTGTTGTTTTTTTTTTTCCCCCTGAATTGAAATATTGACCTATTTAAAAAGGATATAATTTGATCTACCTCCTCTCTGGCATTTAAGGTTCAAGCTCCAAGAACTGAAGTGGATTTGGAATTGTTAGGTGCTTCTCAGCGGTGATTGATTTTGTCATAATCAATTTGTTCTTAATAACAAGATTTTTAATATTACTCCATTTAAGCAGCTTTACTTTATTGTGGACTTTTGACAGGTAGTATTCTACTTGGGGAATAAAAAAGTCAATGGTTTTAATCAATGTAGTTTCATTTAGAAGTAAAAACTCATAGACTTGTTTCTGTGATGTGAGAACAAAAATATTCTTCTAGTAAAGGACAGGATCCTAGTCTGTCCTGGGGCCAATTAAGCTTGGTCACCTCAGCAAGTAAAATGTCATTAAAAGCATTTTCAGAGATCTCCCTCCAGAAATGTCTTTATTATTTCACTGAACCCATTTGAACTCTCTGCATGAGCAGGGTGGGGCCCAAAAGGAACAATGCTTGAACAGTGCCACATCTTCTGTTCACTGGAAAAACAGGAGTGTCTCAACCAAATTTCTCATTTGCATTTTAAGCTGGGAAAAACAAAACACAGCAACAAAGAAAATGTTTGAGCTTTGTATGCGTTATTACTAGAAAAATAGTTAGCAAATCCTGAATCAAAATGCACGTTATATACCTTAATACACAGAACAAGTTATATTGTAGAAACTATAGTTCTACTGTGACACACTCTCTCATCATGCTGAAAAAAATACTATATTTCTTTTTAATAGTTTAATCAGTAGACAAAGGAATATTAATTTGAAGAGAAAGCAATAAACATCAAGAATAGACCATGCATGCAGTTGAGGTTATATCCTGGTCTTGTTTAACTTCACTTAACTTCCTATCAAGTTGATATTTTACTCTAAAGGGCCTCATATAGCACAGTGTTTGTGGATTTTTTTTTCCCTTTACCACTTCGAAGTAGTTGTCTCAAAGGGTTTTTAATATAATGTTCTCGTATGGTTTTGAAAAACAGATGTTGAAATACTATACAAAGAAAAGAATTTACTCAGAAACCATTTAGCAGGCAGAGCGGAGATGTTAAAATATGTAATGAAAAGCAGAAACACAAATAGAAATACAGATTCCTGGGTAGCTAGCTTTATTCATGGTTAGCTGAATCCCTTGATACTGCTTGAGATTTCAGAGAAGTAAGATCAACAGTCTTGCTTGTATAGGGGTATGGTGATAGGTATCCTCCATAATTTATGAAAGTGTTTTATCATGATAGTTCTTATGTTTACAAATAAATGTGTGGTGTGGGTTTTGTCTTGTTTTGTTTTGTTTTTTTTTTTAAATTCCATTCATTAATCAGAATCCCAAATTGATTTTTGAAAAGTGTTGTTTACTTGCTGCCTGCCCTTGGTAACTGTCTTTATTGAATATAGAATGTGTGGAGCACACAGAATAGTAAAAGAGAAGCAATGGTCATCTTCCAGTTACAGCTATTGATCTGTCCTGTCCTACAGTGTTGGAATACCAGCACAACAGTTTTAGATTTTTGAAACACAGTTCCTGAAGGACAAGTGTCTTCCAGATGTTTGGAAGAAAGATTTGACTGCTGCCTGGTGGTTTCAAACACATGTATAGCTATCAAAATTATTTGATAAAATAGTTTTGTAGTTATTTATGAGGTCATCATTTCAAACCTATATTCCCAGTTATTATTTCACTGTGTAGATAGTACAAATAAATTGACTCTTAAACTCTTGCATTACATTTCACTTTTGGCATTTATGTTGAATCGTCTACTTGCAGCAATATCCTGTTTATTGTTGGTATCGTCCATGGCAACTGACCCCACTAGTACCAAAATTACTATCTGTAGACATGGTTACAGGCAGCATAGCTGTTATGGGATGAGGCTTATGTTTTTTTTAACCTTAAAACTGATTGTTGGAAATGCTAGTATGCATATTTGAGTCGTTAAGCATTGGAATGGGCTCCCCAGGGGGGTGGTGGAGTCACCATCCCTGGAGGTGTTCAAAAAACATTTAGATGTGGCGCGTCGAGACATGGTTTAGTGGGTTTAACTGGCATGGTGGCGTCAGGTATACGGCTGGACCTGATGATCTTTGAGGTCTCTTCCAACCATAATGATTCTATGATTCTGTATTGATTATCTTGCAAGAGCACATCTGCTGATTCTAAGAATATGTGTACTGCAAAGCGGTAACTCCAGCCTCCTCTGTTCTCTCCCCGCACTTCTCCTTCATCTGCATTTTTCTTAGTTCTCCAGAACCAGCCTCATCAGGTTGGGAGACCAGAAAGATGTGCTCTGTTGGAGCAACTCTACATCAGCTGCCAAAATGACCAGTGCTTTCACAGGAGGCTTGGTGCAGCCTGAACTCCATGGGTTTGCTGTGCAGATATGCACATAGTACTCTGTCCAGAGACAGTGGCCATTTGCCCAGGACATGAAGGTATCACAATTACCATCCCCACGGGATCATCCGAGGACAAGGCATTTCAAATAACCCTCAGTCTCTGCTCAAATGTCTCTACATGTCTTGGTTTCAGAAAAATCAGAACCAGGAAGATGAATAAGCATGAAAGCTTACTTGAAATAAAAATCTCATTTTTGAGTACTTGGAGTTCGGGGACTATTGCTTTCACAAGGAATTAGAAGCTTTTTCTGCAGCATCTAACTCTAGTCCTTCTACTTGTAGTTTAAATGGGTAACAAACTTGGGCTGAAATTGGTCCTGTCCTTAAAGAACCAGCATACTCTGTTACAGAAGCTAATTGGTATCTGCTGTTTTGCTAATTAAAACAGCTGTTTGCATTTTCCTCTTTGGGGACTTTAAAGACAAGTTTTTAATTGTTAGTAAAGCCTTGGCAGTTCTTTAATTAGCAATGGATGAACTTCAAAAGGTTGAGCAACTCATTTCTCTTTGAATGCTCAGCCAAAGCTTATGTAAAACTTTATCTAGAATCTGCAATTCTATGCTAGAAAACTCAGGTTGTACTGTAAAATTTCTGTGTTTTCTGTATTCTGCCTGTTGCCTGCTGAAAAAGTAGATAATAGGTCAGGACACTGTATATATTTGAAGCTTTTAGTGTATGCTGTGGCCCAGACCTCCTCTCTTCTCCCATGGGCATTCTGAGGATGCTCTGATGTTTGCAGGTAGTCCATCTACATCCCAGTAACTGTTGCCTTTGCCTTGGTGAAGACATGGGTTTGACCCAGGAAAAGTCACTGGTATGCTGTTAGTACTGTCCTTTGGAGTACTGGAAAGACAAAGAAAATGGTGATTTAAAATGGTTGGTATTTCAACCAGGTTGGAACCATATTTCAAATGAGAAAGAAGACCCATTCTTTATTTTGGGCGGGTTTGGATTCTGTCATAAACAGTCTCTGTTGCAGGAGTTTGATGTAAAAGACTACTGCATGCATCTCCTCTTGTATTTAAGAGTATAGGAGTCATTACTAGTATCTGTCATAACAAACCTTAGAAGACTATAGTAAGAACAGTTAGAACAGCTGGGATGTTATTTATTTATTTATTTAAATCAAGCAGACCCAAATATTTGAAAATCAGCTGAAAGTCCTCCTGAAAGATTTCTTAAAAATTCATATTTCCTATTTTAGGTAGAAGATACAAGTTTGAGTTTGTTACAGAATTCTGTCTCAAAAAGTCAAAAATGTGTTTTGTTACATGATCCAATTAATGTACAACTAGTCCTAATACACTTTTTACTCATTTTCTTTATTATACTTGTTTCTTACTCTGTATTGAAATATTGGCCGTAATCATCATGTGATCTACTTGCAGGCAAATCCATTCAGCATTCATATGTAACTTTTTCTTAAAATACCATCCTTACAGTATGGACAATAAAGAATAAGGCATTTAAAAGCTAAATCAAAACAAGGACAAAGACAACCTGATTTCCAGTGTGCTACTGTGCTGCAATTTTTTTCTTTTTAAACTGCATTGTTTTGAAGGAATTTAAATACAGTAGCTGCATTGTTTATTAAATAAAATACACATAATTTTTGATCTGGGCTTTTCTTTCTTTCTTTTTTTTTTTTTTACTGTGACCTTTTTGTATTTGTCATGCCATTAGCATTTGTAGGTTGGCATAGCAACTCTTATTTCTGCACTCTCTCCTCCTCCTGCTTTTTTCTACCCCTGTAGCAAATATATCTCCAGTTAGTGAATCCTGTCTGGAACACTGATGCACATCAGTTTTAATGCGTATATTAAATATTAGAGTATCATTTTTTCTAGGAAAGGAGAACCCTACAACTGAGTGGATTAAAACCAGAGGTTCTCAAAAGGAAACAAAATAAACATTGTGGATGAAACGAATGTGATTTAGAAAGCAATCCAGTATTCTTTAAAACACAAGCATTTTAAGATAGTTATCTTAGAATACAGAAGATCATTTATTTCTCAGTGTGAGGTTGCTTGGATCTTAGGACTTTATATACCTTTTGTTTTTTTTATTAATTCTTTATTCAGAGTGATGAATTCATGTTGTTTTTAATAATTCTTTACCAGAAGTCACTCAATTATTAACAGATTACATTGAATAATTTTAAAGTGATTTCTTGGCATAGTAATATGCATATTGCAATCTGTCTTGGTATTGACATGCACTTAAGCATTAGGAGTAGAAAATCCCACTCTGATGTAATTGAGGAGCCAAGATCATGTCAATCTCAGTATCTTCTGCAGGCTATAGAAACCGTTGCTTCTAGAAGACATTGTGAAGGTTACTTTTGTGCATACCACTGTTTACAGAAGCAAGTTTTAAATCTTTCAGTATCTGTATAACTTA